CGGTCAAAGAAGTATTTTGCAAAGCATCCCCGACTTGGCTACTTACCTGTGCAAACAGTATTGGAGGGTGACAACCTGGAGACGTAAGCTTGGTTTATAGAGCAGTGGCTTCTGGAGTCACTAGCCTGTTCCATCAGAAACAAAAAGCTGAAACTCAAAAGATAGCAAACAATTGCAGAGCCTTGTGCTATATTATTCTGTATTGTTTCACATTATTTGCAGATCTTCTCTATTATTTTTAAATTAACATATTTTATGCTTAGATTTTTATCAGCATTGTATTATAAAGCCATGGACTTTACAATGTCCATGGTAAAGGACAAAGCAGGTAATTTTGGCAGGGGCTGAGTAGCTATTTTACAGAGAATACTTTTGAGGACACTGGGTTTTTTGGAATTGCACTGCTTATTTGATTATGTCAGAATTCCTGGAATTAGAAATATCTGAGTTAATTAGAGTCCTACAGGCTTCAGAAATATTGGTGGCTTAATCAGAGAGAGCACTCTCAGTGTCTCCATGGTATTATTTATGGCGCTGACAGAAGTGCTCCACTTTATTTACTCACTTGGCAGTTGTCAGCAAAAGACACTCTTACAAGAGCAAAAATTAAGATGTGTTGACAAGGTGGTAGAATTAGTTTCATGGCTTGACTGTCCCTCACATCCTGGGGTCTGTGGCACTGCTGCCCTGTCTGAACACAGCAGCACTTAGCAACAGCCCATCCAAGGCTTCAGCAAAGACACTGCATTCACACAGCAGCTCGGTGCCAGTGCCACAGTCTGAAGGCTTTCATGACTGTAGGGCTGTGCCTTTCATTTGCAATAAGTAAACAAAACCTTCTCATTAGCAGTTTGAAAGACAGGAGGAAGCAATCTGAAAGCTGCCTGACTGATAGCCTGGCTTCTAAGGAAGCAATGCACATTCGAATGTTACCCACCAGGGCAGTCTTCAGCTGCCACCCACACAGGAAATCAAAGCTGCTTTAATGTGATGAAAGTTTGCCAGTGCTGCCAGAAATTGGAATGCTAAAACTATAATCACAGGTCAGGATAAAATTCTGTTGGTCCAGTCATGTGGGAAATATACAAATAAATTGTCAGCACCATGCTGAGAAAACTCTTGGTATTGGTTCTCCTCCCTGCAAAACTCAGTAATACAATCCTTCTAATAAAAAAATACATAAAATAAAAAATATTTTATAGTTATTCAAGTGTTAGAATATAATACAATATATTTACCTCATTATTTTTATGCATAAGGGAAAGAAGCATTGATAACTGTAACTTATAGGGGAGGCTTATTGGTGGGGTTTTTGCACCCCACTTCTTTTCAATACATTTTATTGTTTACTTTAAAATGGAAGTTCCAGTGCTTGAGCAGAATTTAAATTAATTTATTATGGTTTATGAATGGTAGTTCAATCAATAACACTGATTTGGATTTTTTAAAAAATTGATTTTTATGTAACAAAAGTATGTATGTCAGTCTTATGTCTCTCCATGACAAGTATTTGTTGCTGTATCTTTTCTACATCAGTTGTAACTTGTTCAGGGTGGGTTGCTGTTTAAGATATCTAAAATATTTTGTGTTTCTCCTGCTTTCTATTGTTGAAATGATACTAAAGTTTTTGATTCATAGTTTCATTCTTTCTCTCTCTCTCTCTCT